TGTGTGGGTGTGTGTTGTGTGTTTGTGTTTGTGTTTGTGTTTGTGTTTGTGTTTGTGTGCGTGTGTGTGTGTGTGTGTGTGTGTGTGTGTGTGTGTGTGTGTGTGTGTGTGTGTGTGTGTGTGTGTGTGTGTGTGTGTGTGTGTGTGTGTGTGTGTGAGTGTGTGTGTGTGTGTGTGTGTGTGTGTGTGTGTGTGTGTGTGTGTGTGTGTGTGTGTGTGTGTGTTGTGTGGTGTGTGTGTGTGTGTGTGTGTGTGTGTGTGTGTGTGTGTGTGTGTGTGTGTGTGTGTGTGTGTGTGTGTGTGTGTGTGTGTGTGTGTGTGTGTGTGTGTGTGTGTGTTATTGTGTGTGTGTGTGTGTGTGTGTGTGTGTGTGTGTGTGTGTGTGTGTGTGTGTGTGTGTGTGTGTGTGTGTGTGTGTGTGTGTGTGTGTGTGTGTGTGTATCTGTGTGTGTGTGTGTGTGTGTGTGTGTGTGTGTGTGTGTGTGTGTGTGTGTGTGTGTGTGTGTGTGTGTGTGTGTGTGTTAGCTTGGGGGCGGGCGAGGGGGATTTATGTGTGTGTGTGTGTAAGAAGCCAAGATCTCGGTCATGGGGGCTTGCGCGTGATTGCCCGTCTCTGCCAGATCCTATCATGAAACTGTCAAGCCTGGTGCTGTAACCATGCCTCAAGACTTGAAACCGGTCCCAACCAATACTCAATGATAACCACAGATCTGCTCTAGCCATCTAATCCAACACATTCAGAGTCAACATTCACAATCGATGGGACATCCGGTGGTTCTTGGTTCGAGTGTCTTCAAACCAAATCCGATGCTCAACACCCAAGACGGCCAAGTCTTGCGTGGTGAACCTGCTCGACAAGTCAATCCAATTCAAAGGGTTGGTTGATATCCTTTCAGTTTTCCCTGAAATTGGCATCCAAAAAGGCATCTGCCCTTAAACAGTTGGGTTCATGTTGGTCCCCCAACAGCACCCAAGTGACAGCCCGACAGGCGAAAGGCCAGTTCGCGCCTGCACCAGGAAAGCCGCGAGCAAGGCGGCGGGGACGGCGAAGAAGCAGGAGCGAGGGAAGACGGAACCTCCGCGGTTCCACAAAAACACCGCCAAGGCTCGGCACGCAAAACATCAGGCACACAGAACTGGGCTGCCCTCAGATCCCCCGGCAAAAAGTGAATAACTTTTAGTGGATTAAATGGAAACCACCACTAAACACCAAAAGGCTCAAAGCTACGGGGATGGCCGGGAGCCACGAAGAGAAATCATATGTCCACATGGTGTCGCTTCAAGAGGTCTAGCTGGCCACACGGTCCTGCGCTCAATTGGGCAATCGAGCTGAACAAAAGGAAGGGTCAAGGCGGACAGGGGATCAAATAGTGAAACTTTTTCCGTGTGGACAAAGTGGTCGAGGTGGTCGGGGGGGTCAAGGTGGTTAAGGTGGTCAAAAGGTCAAGTTGTCAGCTTGTCAAGTACTCAATCAGGCGGTCCAACGGTAAAGCGGTCCGGATGCCTGAGATAGTGGTTCTGTCCTCGGGTAGGACTCGGAGTCCTCTCTGTCAGCATAAACCTGGGCCTCATAGCTTAGTCTCTGCAGCCCCGTTTCAATGGCTCCCGAAAACCCACGCTGGCAAACAGCCGTGTTGCCAGGAAGGCATCCATTGGTCGCCAGCGCGTAACACATCAGGTTCGGAGGAGTAAGCAGCACAACCAAGAGAAGTAGCTGCAACATTACGCAACGTTAAACTCCCTGCGGATCTCTCATGGAGGACATGGGCCACCACAATGCTGAGGTCGCCTTTCACTTGAGCACGGGCGTTCTGTATTCCGCTCTGGGCCCCCACGCCTTTCCAATGGAGGACTGTCAACAAAAGCCATGACTCTGAGTAATCGATCATCGCGGTGTCATCGCAGCCACCTCACTCCGAGAAAGAAGCAGGTGCTTGAAAAGAGGCGGAAAAAATGTGCGGCTGTAACAAAAACACACCAAGAAAAGGGGACACTGTTCTTTTGAACCAGGACGTGAATATTGGTTGAAGGTTGGCTTCACAGCGCATCTCGATAAATCAATGAACCGCAGCATACCAAGGGCTCCGGCTGGTTTTGAGACATACCTGCGACCTCAGGAGACAACCATCTAAGAACTGCCATTTTCTGTCAAGTAGGTCTGTTCATAGGAAATGGTTGTAATCTGTAAACGGTTGTCTCAGGTTCCAGGTACAGTCGGCCAGTATAGTCTCGGAGAAGATGCCATTGGCTAATTGCAAGGACGAACTCGCCAGAAAGGACTCGATCGACGAGCCCTGAATCAAACAAATCGAAACTTATTGGCATGTTTGTTTGAGGCTATACGCACCCCTTTTGTTTTCAGGGCGTTCATTTTGGAGACCACCCACGGGTATTTGCCCGCTTCCAATTAGCATCACATACTTCAGCCCAGGCGCCGCCGGATTCCACATGTCCGGCGCAGGCGCGTGCCCCGGGGTAGCAAAACCCAAACCAAAACACAGCGCCTGGCAGGATCCTCTGTGAATCTCTGCGATTCATTCTGACATTTGTCCGTAGATGACAGGGTTCAAAATCAACTAGTCTCAGGTGCTATGCTTCGCGGACTGCGAGTGCTCATGAAAACATCAACTCGTTCTGCTGATGTCACCTAAACGCTTTGGACCAGAAACACTGGCGGGCGCGAGTCTGGCAATCGATCCAGGATGAAGAAACTGGGTTCAAAATTTATCGAGGGTCTCGAGGCATTGCTTCCCCGGCAAAAGAAGACCCTTCTCAGTGGTCACACCTGCAGAGCCCCAATGCTGAGGGATGCACGTCATGGATTGTCTCAAAAACGATCCCAATGGACTGTCTCAAGTCCCAAGTTCCAATTTTAAGGTGGGAACACTTGATTCAAAATGGCAACCCGGTAGAACAGAAGGCAGCCAAAACCAAAGAATTGCCCAAGGCGGCCGCTTCCATTGGCTGCACAGGCAACAAGTCCCCGAGTTTGGTCTGGGCTCACCGGAACTTCGAAGGCCCCACGTGCACCCAGTTTTGCTCTCAGCGATCCTCCCCGCGTTGGCGCCCTTTGGCCAGGGGAGGTCCACTCACGACACTTTCCGTGGTCGAACATGAAAGCATGGGCGTTCCAAATTCTGACCACTGAAAATCCCAAGACTTCGACAGCGCTCATCATGTGTGTGCATTTCAACCACGTCACGCAATTCCAAGGCGGCAGTCGGGGCGTAGGCCGCTGCAGCGTGCTTCTTCAGGCAGCCTGACAAAGCAAAGCCGCATGTTGCCCACACACACACACCATAGTTCTGCTTCCCCGAAGGGAACCAAAAGGTTGCTTTTGTCGCGTGAGGTTGCCTTGTGTCCATCATATATTCCAGGGCTGCATAAGCCGCAGATTTCCGGATCCCAAAATGCCAGCCCGAACCTTTGGAACCCTCTCAAGCCAAAGCCTCACATCGAGTTCCCAGCGCCTCCAGCACTCCGGAGAAGTGAAGGGGCCGATGGTCCGAGTTCCTCTGGCCGATCACCAAGCGACGGAAATAACTATGAAATTCTTGAAGTACCTAGCCACTTTCAGGTGATACGTGCATTGCCCGTCAGACCATGGTTTGCCAACCCAAATGCTTCATGGATCCTTGCAAAAAAAAACAACCTCTTTCAACATGGCTGTGGGTCAAAACCAATGGTACCATTTTGGGGTAGGTGCACCACCCATTTTAGAACCTATTTTGGTGGTTGGATTGGGATGTTCACTGGAAATACGATTTGGATGTTGATCCATGACCACAGGAATCGTTTTGGCCCAGGCGCAGCAGCGTGCGCCGCAAGGCCGACTCGAAGCGCGGCCCAGGCCCCTGGCACTTGGATGCTTGATGTGCTGAATGCAAGTGAGACAACATCGTCTCAGCGCAGTGCCAAAACCGAGACCAAACCAAACCAAGAAAAACAAAAGGCTAGCCACGAAAACGGGAGCGAGAGCGAGAGACTGACAGAAAGAGAGAGAGAGAGAGACAAGAAAAAAAAGACAGAGACAGAGGCAGAGGCAGAGACAGAGAGACAGAAACAGACGCAGAGAGGAGACTGAGGCAGAGGCAGAGGCAGAGGCACATGCAGATGCGGTGGCAGAGACAGAGAGACAGACAAACAGAGAAAGTGGGGGACGTGTTTTTTTGCGGATCAGGTCAGCCACGCACCAAACCCACAGCACCCGTCCTTGCTGCCCCGGCCGTCTCGTCTCAGCGCCTGGCAAACCCGGAAGAAAATTGGCAATGCGGTCTTCTAGGTGGGTGATTTTTTTCCAGACAAATGCAAGATCGCATTTTGCGACAAATCCCAACTGGTGAGCGACCCTTGTTTTCTCTCTACCAACCAAGGAAGCAACTTGAACAGCGCAATTTCTGTCCTGAGTCTGTCAGGGGGCATGTATATACATCGTGTTCATGAATGGATCAGTGTGCTGAAAGCTTCGTTCACGCGTCACAAGGATCTGTCGCCTTCCCCATATCGCCAGACCAACCCAATTTCCGCTTGGAACCAACCCAATTTCCGCTTGGAACCAACCCAAAACACCCCTTTCCGAACAAGGCCTCATCAGGAGTCTTATTTGGGTGTTTCTCACAAAGGACAATTCCAGGTGCTTGGTCTTCTATTGGTTTCCCCTCAAAAGAGTAAAGGGGGATCCATGTTATTGCTTTTTTTTTAATACCCATTTAGGTGTGTCAATTCTTGAGGGCGCCCCCCTTGTGGGGCAGTGTTTCAAGGAAACCAACAGGAAACCATTGCTATTTCCGGGGGGTGTCCAAATCCTATGCCGTGTTTCGGCTGTTTTTCGGAGGGGGGAAGTTCAAGCCCAACCCATTCGGCCATTTGAACCCAGATTTAAGAACCCATGGATTGCTCCATTCTTCTGTGCCCTTTCTTCTTGCGGCTCAGGGACTGAGAAATGGAACAAAAACCTGGAGATTCCCGAGAAAAAAAAGGGCAGCGCCATAGGAACCGGACCGACGGTGTTTTCCTCCCATCTCTCATTCCCTCAGATGCCCAGTGGCCATGGGAGAAAAAAGGGGGCATCCTTTTTTGGTTGACTAGGGTTGGGATCGGAACCCCTCCCCTCCCAAAAAATAGGAGAGAAAACATATTTTTTTTCCAAAAGGGAAGCAACCCGCTACTTGGAAGGAATCGGAACCCCTCCCCTCCCCAAAAAAAGAAGAAATAAAAAACAAAAAAAGGAAAACAGGGAGGCAACCTCGGGTGGGGGAACCCCTCCCAAAAAAAGCACACACCACCCCGCCCGGCGCCTGGAAGACCCGCTCCGCATGGCGCTCGAAGGCCTCGAAGTTTTCGGGGCCCAAGGCGCGGCCTGGAGGAAGCGGAGCGCCCCCCCCGGGGTGTACTTGGAGCGTGAGACGGGTTTGATGGTTTTTTAAACCTGTGGTCATTGTTGTCTGTGCGTGTGTTGCTTTATGTGGTTGGTTGTCTGTGTGTGCTTTGCGGAAAAACAAAAAAAAGAAAAAGAAGAAAAAGGTTTGTTATAGCTGATTCGTAGTCGTTGGAGTTGTTTTGATGATGCCTGTGATAGTTGGATTGATGGTTTTTGTTTTGTTAAATAGCTTTTCACAGCTTTTAATTACCCTCCCCCCCACGATCATGGAAGCTGACACGAGGGTTTCGGAAGACTACTTTCCTTTTGGGCAAGCGCACTATCCACTTGGAGATACCACCTGGGCTCATTTGGAGGGCAAGAGTGGGGCTTGGGCCCTCGGTGTTGAAACTACTAAAAACAAAAAACAAAAACATTGGCTTTCTAAGGACCTCGTGTTTGTTTCAAATGCCAAACCCTGGGTTGGGTAAGTGGTTCTAAAACGGGGGGAAAACCAAGGCACGCTTGCAAGCTTCGAAGATACAAGAACGCATGAATCTGGGCAAATTACTGTAATTTACAAACCGGAGAAGAAACAAAAAAAGGCATGACCTATAAAAGACCTTCAGACCTTTCACCTGACCATCTGATGCGACTAAAACAAGTCTCGCAGATCAAAGAGTGAGACCTAACCTCCAAAAAACAGAAATGGGATGACTTGACATCTGCACCTCAACTCCGACAAGGAAGGAACGCATCATCTGGACTCCTAGACATGTGGAGGCTTGTACCATGCGAAGAAAGGGGGAGGGGGTTCGCCAAAGCCACAAGCTTTTATAACTGGAGACATTGAGGGAACGACCCTGCTAGGGTTGAGCCTTAGCGATGCCTTTGATTCACGGCTTGCACGTACCGACTTTGGAAGGGACGTGAAGCTGGCGATGGAGCTTCACTTGATCGGCCAAAAGGCCTGGGATCCACGGAAGAATCCACCAGGCTTTGGCGGGAAAACCGGATTTATCTCAGGGCTGCGAGCTCGCGGGCCAACAGGTGTCCTTTTTGGAAACGTAACCATCGAACCAAGCTGAGACCAGCGGAAACCATCTACTCTCAACCAATCCAAAAGGCTGCCAGAAACTCCACCCGCGCCCACAGGCCTTGCCACAGGCCCTTCGTCACCAGCGCAAAGTCCCCGCGCACGGCGGGGTTGGAGGCGTGCGCTGTGCGGCTTCCCGGGGTGACAATCTGGAACCTGTGCGCCGCCGCGGCGAGAAGTCGGATCGGAGGGTCCCTGGCTTGGCGAGGAAGCCAAGAAAACAGCTCACGGGGGTGGGTATGCAACCATTCGACAATAATGTTACTGTGTATGGACAAAATCCTGCACCACCTAAGAGACCCTGGCAGAATGATTCCCCTGTAATACCAACAAACAATGGTTTCCCATGGGTTCAGAGTGGTGCAGGATTTTGTCCATCCACAGTAGTAATTGTTCAGCCTTGCATTCAGCCGAAAAATAAGGCCCGAGTGGTTAAAGGCGGGCACCAAGCCTCCCGAGAGGAGCTACCAGCTACCGAAAAGCCCGAAGGTTCTGCTTCCCACCAAGGTCATCCTCCCAAGAAGGGATGTGACTGGGGCCATGTTTCTTTGCTTTGGGACAGCTTCGGAAGGCAACGAGAGGAAGACCACTCTCCACTTGGCGCATCAAGTCCAGAAGGGCTTGTCTTAAAATGAGCAAAATTGACCCCAACAAATGATTGGCATCCCTTTGGTTTCCAACAAAACACCCCCGAGAAAAGGGTACCATCCAAAACACACATACCCGTCCCCCGTCTAAACTCATCCGTTCATTGCAAGTTGTTAAAATTAACCGAGGAAATACTGAAAATAGTTGGTCTTCCAAAAAAGCTGCACATCGACAACCCGGCCGCCCCTGGTTCTGACTCGCAGCCATGTTCGCTCGCCAATCGAAATTGATTGGAAATGTGTGCCCAGTGTCCCCACACACCACACACCACACACAACACAAAGTGAGAGACACAAACACCGCACAGGTGGTACACACAAACCGCCCCCACTTCTCCCACCCCCCCGGCCGAGCCGAAGGCCTCCGAAAGCCTGAAAGAAGGTCAATTGGTCGATCTGGTTCGGTTGGCTTGGCTTGGCAAGGTACCGTATGGCTGTGTAGTAGACGGCTTCCCCCCCCCTGTAGACAGCTTCCCAACCTGCCCCCCCCCTCGCCAGTTAATCAATCCAGCCGGAGGCACTGATCCCAGAAGCGCGACACACCCAGGAGCTCTTTGAAGTGCTCGGGGTCTACGTTGAAGTCCCCGAGCAGTAGGCACGGCGTCTGCAGCCGCCCCTCCTGTGGGAAATAAAAGCTCGGTTTTCGTAGCACTACAAACCTTGAAAGCTTGGAAAATTGCTGTAATTCCCAATCTCTAGCAGCCATGCCAAATGCAGGCAACTCCTTGTTGTGCTCAAACCCCCAGGCAATCGACCCCAAGAAAACATCAAAAACCATCTCCGGGCCCAAAGTGGAATTTCGGACCCCACTCAGCTCAACCCCCCTTCCCAGCTTTTCCTGTTGAACCCCACCTTTTGAACCCCCCCAGACCCACCCCCCCCCTGCGCCCCGCCCCCGGGCCTCCACGCCAGCCGCCGCCTCCACCGCTCGGCGCAGCGGCTGCAAATAGCGCTTGAAGGGCAGGCACGTCCTCCGAGTCGGAAAAAGTGTTGCGCTTCGGGAGCAGCACTGTTGAGGGGCTGAGGACCAATATTCAAAACAGGTTCCACTTCCATACAAGGATATAGGATCATCAGTAGTTGCGCTTCAGGTGAGTTTCTAGGGGTACCTTCCATTTCCAGTCTTTCCAATTCTTCTTTCTAGAAAACCTCCGGAAATCCGGGGAAAAGAGCTGGTTCTTGAAAAGGACGATGGTTGAAAAGAATGGGGAATCAACCCTAGAGAGTTGTCATCAAAACCGGTATTAAAATGGTCGATCCCCAGAACTATGCAAAGACTTAAGACGGCCGCACCCATTTATGGCGGGGATTGTCCCTCACTACCTTCCAATTACCCCGATTGTGAGTGGGTGTATGCCGCATACCTCACGTTGTATCCTCAGACCGAGCTTCAGTGGCAAGCTTGTTTTTTTACTTCCTGCACTCAAAACAAACACAGAAAAACCTTTCCTGGTCAAAAAAAACACAACAGGCAGCTAACCTTTCGGGTTGAAACACACGATGCTAAATATTCTTGGCGGTAGTGGGTTTGGGCACACACGCGGATGCCGGAGATCTTCCTGGTCAGGAAGCTTGGCTTCGACCGGACTACCACTACTCTGCTGCCAATTTGACCAAAACAAGCCGCGGCTTTGTAGGTTGGATGAGCCGAGACAAATCTCCCATGGCTCAAACGCCTCAAATGGGACCCATGCGATGGGCATCCGCGCCCGATAGATCAGGCCAAGCCGCACGGCGAGAAAGAAGGCCGCTTTGAGTCTCACACCGCTGGAAGTTGGGCTCGGTTCTTAGGCAAATTCCCCAAAAGGCCCAATTGGTCTATGTCGAATGGAGATTGGCCACGCTTTCACATCTTTGACATCCCTTGATTTTCCAAAAAGCATCTGATACCCTGCTCTGCCACACTGGCTTAACGCAGAGCAATCACTCCCAAGAAAGTGTCCCATGAAAGCGTGACCCCCAGGCTGCCTCAATACATCCGCACGCGAAAAGAAAATCGCGCGCACTGGCCGACCTCCGCCCCTCCGTCCGCCCAAAAAACGAATCGAGGCCGAGCTGCATGTCCCAGAATGGCACGTGCAGGTGCACGGAACACACCACCAGCCTCTGCCCATCTGGCCGCTCCTCGGATGGACGGTCTGCACGTGTCCCCTGAAAACCCACACACCACAGAGTGCGGATATGTCTCGAAGGGACCCCTTTGACGGGTACGTGTCCTGTTGAATTTCATCATAGGGCAGGTCCCTGCATGTTTTGGCCTGTCTTTGGCCGCCGTTCAAAAGGCTTGCCGCTGCAAATCATCAAAAAAAAAACGAATCTCATGGACGAGATTGCGGATGGATCAAAGGCATGAGGCAAACCTCAGGCCCCGAGGCCCTATGGCCTTGACTTCCACCAAACTGCGTCCAGCTGGAGCTCCCTTCGTCAAAAAGCAGCTCCCCTTCGCCCCTTGTGGGGTGTTCGAGCGCCGCCAACCCGCTCTCCAAGCAAAGCTTCCACCAGCGCCACCGTGTGGTCGCGCGAGCACCTTCGCCGCCTTTCCAGCGGGTTCGGTTGGGTGTCTCTCTCTTGGAGGACACAGTGTTTCTGTAGTGTCTCTATCTTCCTTCCTTCCTTCCTTCCTTCCTTCCTTCCTTCCTTCCTTCCTTCCTTCCTTCCTTCCCTCCCTCCCTCCGTCCTTCCTTCCTTCCTTCCTTCCTTCCCTCCCTCCCTCCGTCCTTCCTTCCTTCCTTCCTTCCTTCCTTCCTTCCCTCCGTCCTTCCTTCCTTCCTTCCCTCCTTCCTTCCTTCCTTCCTTCCCTCCGTCCTTCCTTCCTTCCTTCCTTCCTTCCTTCCTTCCCTCCGTCCTTCCTTCCTTCCTTCCCTCCGTCCTTCCTTCCTTCCTTCCTTCCCTCCGTCCTTCCTTCCTTCCTTCCTTCCTTCCCTCCGTCCTTCCTTCCTTCCTTCCTTCCCTCCGTCCTTCCTTCCTTCCTTCCTTCCTTCCCTCCCTCCCTCCGTCCTTCCTTCCTTCCTTCCTTCCTTCCTTCCTTCCTTCCTTCCTTCCTTCCTTCCTTCCTTCCTTCCTTCCTTCCTTCCTTTTATGTTATTTCCTTTTATTTGTCCTTTCCTTTGTCCTTTCCATTCCTTTCGTTCTTTCCTTCCTTCTTTCTTTCTTTCTTTCCTTCCTTCCTTCCTTCTTTCTTTCTTTCTTTCTTTCTTTCTTTCTTTCTTTCTTTCTTTCTTTCTTTCTTTCTTTCTTTCTTTCTTTCTTTCTTTCTTTCTTTCTGGGGGGGAGTGTTTTTTTGCTTTCTGGGTGTTGCTCGCCTTGGAGAACGTGTGTGGTTTCCCTACCGCGCGCAAAGAGGATCTAACTCCAAAGTCTTCCTAGTTGTTTCCTTCAAACATCACCCCAAGGGAAATTGTCTCACGGAGCCCCCCACGCTGGTGTCCTTTTGGTGTCCCTTTAAAATGACCATGCCCTCAAAACGACACACAAGCCAAACCCCTTTGCAGTTTGAACCTCTAAATCTGGAAATAATCACAACTGAATACTTGTTCTATGCCAAGAAGCAACAAACAGATCCACAGAAAAGCTGGAACCCCTGTCAGCTCCATCCCCAGACTCAAACCGAGTCCAAAACGGAAAAAAAAAAAGCCCCCGTCCCGAAACCCGAAAACGGGGGAGAAGGCGGGGGCGTTTTGGTGATGCGCCTGAACAAGGGCCGGCTCAGCACCGCCTGCTCCCGGCAGAGCAGCCGGGCATTCCCCAGGACCAGGGCACTACCTGCGGCCACGGCTCGGAGGCCCGGTGAAAATTTTCCGGAACAAGGCCATCCTGTTGGGTTGGCTCATGGGAACCAAAAAGGCCATCCTATTTTTTGTGGGGTTGGTGGAGTCTCTCAAAAAGAAGCCTTCCCCAAAAAGGTTTTGGAAAGAAGGGCGCCACCGGGCAACAGAGAGCATGTGTAGGACTTGGAACCCATGGGGTTTTAATGGTGGCGTCCCTTCAAATCCGAAAAAGAGAGAAAAAAAGAAAAAAACTCGAAACACTCATCTAGGCGGATAAAGGTCGTAGAACAGGAGTTTGGTGTTGGTGGGGGGGGGTTGGGGTGCCGTAGAGCTAAACTTATGCACGGCCATAGGAACATGTGTTGTCTTTCAGCTATCCGTCAGTTTCTTGTGTTTCCCCAGGAAAGCAAAGGGATATATAGCGGGTGTGTATACCTCCCGGTTTCCTCTCCGGATGGTGTGGGAGTGGCAACCATGTTAGATTGGTCCGTCGCTGGAACGGCAGGGAGCAAGAAAGATACTCCTCAAGGTTGGGACTAGAGGAACACCAACCAACTGGCAAGAAAAACACGGGGGGGTTCCCCAGAAATCGCCCCCTACAATAAACCGGTATGAACGTGCGCTGGCCAAAATCCGGTTCCGCAACAGGTTTCAACAGAGAGCTCAATATACACGGAAGGGTTGACTACCTATGTGTGAGAAAGCCAATGAATGATATTTCAAGTGAAGGGAAGGCTGGCTGCCACGCACGTGTCTCATTTTGCACACCCCTTTGACTCCTTCGAATGATCATGATTCCCTTACAAAAAAAAGCCTTGTCACAACTGCTACTCCTAAAGATTTAATCGCCATCCCACCCTCCCAATTGACCCTGGCGCCTCCAGGTTTGAGCCATCTCGAAATACAAAAGGCGACAAGCCAGGTTCACTCTGAGCGGCCTTGGGCAACCATACTCCCCCTTCAAAGATCCAACCCAGCGGTGGTTTTGTTGAGGGTACCTTTTTTTAGGCGGCCTTAAAGACAACTCCAAAGGGAGAACACCGTTTGTTTGTTTTTTCTCTGTCCCCTACTTTTGCGGTACCCACAATGGGGATTATTTGGGGACAAAGGTGCTTCTTGAATGGTAAGCTTAAAGAGCTAGGTTTACAAGGAAAACGTGAAGGACTGCCAACATTCTGATGGTCCCCCTATCTTCAAAAATAGGGGCACCAACAACACAATGTGGTTCTTCCTTTGGCTTCAAGACAGTTTACCCTTTTGTGAAGGGTCCCACACATGGGCTCCGGCTTCCCCTTTACACCGACCCCAGGCACCAGAGTTAGGTCGAGCGGCAGGACTCCACCTGGACGCCCCGGCCGTCCAGGTCGTCCTGGCCCCGCAGCAGCGGCTGGACATCCCCCAGCGCCCGGCAGAAGAGCGGGTCCGCCTCCTGAAATGGGCCCCGGCCGTTCGGTGAGGAAAAACGCGCGGGCACCGGGGGAAAGAAAACCTTCGGTTTAGCACGTAACCACGGGAAGCATGTCCAAAAAAATAAAAGCTAGAATGTGCCTGTATGATAGAAAATCAACAGCTTTTGATCGATGGAATTTAGAATTTCCTGTGCTTGTCAGGCACGCAAAACGTTTAAACACCTCTTGTTTGTCAACTTGCGTTTGGTTGCCTCCTCAAGGTTGCAGGGGCTCTGGCAGGGTTGGAAGACACCACCCAAAACCGGTCACAACAAGGACCAACTGAGTTTCTTTAAGAGGGACAAACTTTGGCAAAACAACAAGGATTGAGTATGGCCCATTGGCTGGCAGCTACCCAGAAGCATGCGCAGCATAAACATGTCGTATACATGTGTATATACATATATAACTACATATCTACTACTCATATGTGTGTCTCTGAAAACTAGGGATTCTCAAAAAGTGGTTGGCTGTTCGGTCCACTTTGATACGAGCGGCCGAGGCAACTCTAACCGCCTTGCGAGGCCAACTCCGCATGTTTGCTCTTCTGCCTTGCAAACCAAGCCGACTGATAACAGTCATAGGTGGCCTTTTGGAAAAATAGATGGCCCTGGTAAATGAAACAAAACCCTTCTAAACCAGTGCCATCAATTTTTAACCAGGCTCACCTAAAAAAGGACACCTATGATAACAGTGTCATTTGTTTCTGCGAAAGGGTTTGAAACGGAGTTTCGGGATGGATAAAACAGGCCCTAACCCACCAACAAGAAGAGACCACCTTATCCCCCCAGTCCCAAGGGCAAAGCGGTTGCCCTCGGCTGGCCAAACACGAACCAAAACAGGGTGCCAGTTGTAACAAGGTAAAGAAGCCCAGCAGGGGCAGAAACAACCGAAAGCAAGCACGAAGCAGCAAACCAAGCAGGCAAACAAAGCAGCGCAGCGAGCGAGCAAAGCAAACCAATAGCGCAACCCCCCAAATTGGCCTCGACCCGGACCCGCCGTAGAACGGCACCGCCAGCTGCCGGCCGCCCCTTTTCCAGGAGGCGGACGGTGCTCAGCGCCGCACCGCTATGGCGACGGTCACAGCAAAACCTAAATGCCGGAGGTAAAATCTTGAGCCAAATGCCGCGTTGGGCATAGGCAGGAAATGACATACGCTATGATAAAAGTACATGCCCCCAAAAACACCCCCCTCGACTGTACAAAGAGAAGGAGTGAATTTGGAAAGGCGCATTGGCCATGTTGGAGTTGAGTAGCAATGAAAAGGAAACAAGGAGGATTAGGTTACCAGGGTTCGCGACCCCATACCCGGGCTCACTCCCGAATTACGGGTATGGGGCGGATTCGCGCCGGTAACCAAATCAACCAGAAAAACAAAAGAAGGAAAGAGAACAAAGTTTCAACTCCAGAATGGCAGGCATGAAATATCTGCGATGCAACCACATCGAATCAATAGATTCACGTGGATTTAATGTTTGAATTATGTGGTCAAAAGCGCTTTGGCTTGCTGATTGAAACGTGGTGCATAGACCAAAAAGGTTCGGCCTTAAATCAGCACCGTCTAGGCGCGCGGTCATTCGAAGACAACCGCCAAGGAAACCGCCAGCAGCACTCAGCGGTTCAGGTCCGAGTAGGACCTCACCGGCAGCGGTGCGGCGCATCCGTGATCCTCACCACAGCACCTTGATGGGTTCCATCGCCAGCAGCAGCAGCGGTGCAGGATGATGCTGATCACCAGCGGCCGTAGACGCCGGCGAGGGTGACTGCCTTGCTGTGACGACGCGCACCTGACGGGTCATCGCAGCTTGCGCGAATAGCGCACAGCCACGCATGCAGTTGAATTCTGAGATGGCGAATAGCCGAAGCATTGAAATATGACAAGGAGCATAGTCCTTCCTGTGAATTCCGATATGAAAGCATGCGCGCATTGGCGCAGTCATGCACAACACTCAGACAGACGTCAGGTATTACTGATGTCGTCCGCCGCCGTGCCGTCCCTTCCCCTTGTTGACGTTCCAGTCCCCAGGAGGAGGAGGCACGGTTTCGGCCAACTCGTCATCATCACCCCAGGTAGGGGTATGTGGCGAGTTCGGATTCTCGAATTCGCGGGGATCACCTTGCATATGCGGCTGCCAACTCTGCGGCATTGCGCCAGGCCACATTTGCGGCATCATGCCAGCCATGGGCTGTTGCATGTATCCTCCCATTGGGAAAGTGGGATACATCGGACTCGGGAATGGGAAAGGGGCAGCCTGTGCACCCTTGTACCCCGACCCGCGAGCATCAGGCTGGTACCCGCCAGTGGGAGTTCTCGATCTGGCGGATCCGCCACGACCGTACTGCCCGTGTTGGTAGCCGTATTGGCCACCCTTGCCTTTGTACGTCACCCTTGTGACCCTTGCCTGAAAACTGGTCACCTTTGTGACCCTTGCCTGAAAACTGGTCACCCTTGTGACCTTCACCCTTGGGCCAAGGGTACGCAGGGGCATTGCCCTTTCGTTGATCTCCCTTTTCCCTGCGGTCAGGTCGCGGGGTAGCTGACCGATGATCTCCCCTAGGAGTGGCTGCCCGCCTATGGTGCTTCCCAGACGGCGGGTCAGCAAAAACAATGGCGCTTTGGCCATCGCGCTGTGCAGCGGGGACCATGTCAACCTTGTTATTTTCGACATAAATGTATGCCTCAGCATACTCAATCGGGGCCGTGATGGATCCACCACCGGCCCGCAGAGAGTCGATACTCAAATCGAGAACTGTGGAGGCATCAAAACTTGGGTCCTCACTATTGAAGTCCGAGAGGCGTCGCTCAGCCTGTACCAATGACATTATAATGTCCGCACGTGAGGCGCCTAGGCCATACAGTGGAACCAAATATCCGTCCTCAATCCCGATGCGGTAGGCATCAAAAATATGCACAGAGAGGTAAAGAGCAAATGCTGAATTTAGACTGCCCTTTCTCGTCATATGACGACCCCATTGCGCCGCCTGTTGCGGGCGCTCGACCAAATATGTCATGACAGACATATTGTCGGGAATTGGGACGCCAGTATTGCTCTCCTCGATGAGCAGCTGTTTTGCTACCCACCGCTCGAGAGCCTCGTCACTCGCACGCACACAAGCGTGGGTGTCCCTTGAGGTGACTTTCACAACCTCCTGAAACGCAACCTGCACGGTATCCGCATTGGGATTGTGCACAAGATGAGGCGCACAGCGCAAACCGGAGATCATACAGCTGACCACCTCGCGGATCGGGTTTACCGACGCCATGAGAGGAGCCCACACGTCAGTCTCCCCTTCATACCAGCTGTTGGCACGGACTGCCTTGAGTCCGTCCAGCCAAACTGGCTGCCCTCTCCTAACTTGGGAGCGGATGGTGCCTGGCACCCAAATGGCAACCATTGCATAGAATGGTGCCATACATATTCAAATGCGCGCACCGAGGGCACCAATAGTCATGCATGGGAGCTTTGTCCCATGAAAATGACACCCCTCTCCGCGGTCCCTGGACATTCAATTCTCGGACCGCCCAGGGACGGATGTATATTACATCCCCTTCCTGGTGCAGATAACATGCGCGCCAGAAGGGCGCATGTATCTCCTCTCGCACAGCAATCAAACCGCGTCGGGTTTTATAGATGCCGGCGGCTTCCTCGATGGCCATCCACTTTAGGTCAACGGCCACAACGACATGGCGCTTGTCCATGCATTTGACGCGATCGTCAACAAAAAATTCGCCCTCATTATTGGGGCTTGGCAACTTGAGGAGAGGCACCTTTGCGCCCTCCAACCCAATCATGATCTCCCCCCTGCAGACCTGCTCAGGCCGCATGGGGAAAACTGATATGGCGAATTTGCCGGGCCTCCGAATGCACCTCGTTTTGAGGGCGGACCGACACTCGGCCATCGTCAGCAGCACGTATCCCGTGCAAGGGACCTCCGCTGCTCCCAACGGCCTAAGCAAAGGCCCCATAGGCGTTCGGTCACGCAGTGCCCAACGCTTGAAAACTTTGAACGGCACGTCCCTCCCGATTAGGGTGGAACGCGCAAAAAGCACCTCATTCGGGCGCACAGTCGAGCCATCTCCCCTCCAGACTGTCCGTATTAGGAGCTCGACTGGAGGGTACGCTGGGCTCTCCTTCGCGAGAGAACCCGCCCAGGTCGCCACCTCGACACTCGTGCACTTATGGATCCCGTATAGGGCCTCAAAGAGCCTGAGATTAGAGTCATTGACATCCAACCTCCCAGAATGTCTGGAACCGTCCCACACAAGCTGGGAGCCGGCTCACCGGGCTTCACGTTCAACCGCGTTGGGTCAGTGTTGCCCGACAAAATTTCTAGCAGCATTTGCGACTCCCTGGAGCTTCGCCCAAGCATCGCCGACGTATCGTTAATCTCGGGGAAAAAGTGGAAGATGTCGTTACCGGCAGGACAGGCGATTCTGCCTGCTGTCCCGCTCTGTGCATCAAACACAACCTCTTCACCCTCGAATGTGAGGTTGTAGGTGCTCGCAATCGGGCACACATCGGGCTTTGCCATCAGTGCATCCTCTAGCGACGCACCAGCAGGGAGGACGCCCTTTTCGTGCGCTTTGGCAATGGGACCAGTCCCCGCTGACATAAGCCGATAATTTTCGGCACGAACGTATGGAAATAGGTTTTTCATCCTCTCAATTTCCTCTTCTGTGGTGCGCCACGCCTTTGCCTCATAGTAGGGTGGCTCCTGCCTTGAGGGCACTAGGTCGCGGTCGCCCATTGATGAGAACTTGTCCACATATGGGCCCATCCCATCATCATCTACGTGACCCTCGTGATCCTCATCCGAGACGTACTCCCTGGGCGGCTCGCCCAGAGCGTCCAGATCGACCTTACCAAGGTCGACCAACGCCGGAGAATCCAGGATTCTCTGGATCCTCATGAGCTCGTTTCTGAACTGCTCAAAGCCTCCGGGCTTTCCAGTTACGGAGGTCGGCATTGCGCCCTCCCAT